TCGCCTCGCCTCGCCTCAGCGCCTTATGGGGCCTCTCCTCGCCCCAAGGCGCCTGCGCGGATTCTCTGGCGCTACGCAGGCAGCACCAGTCCAACGCCGAGCTTGAGAGCGAACCCGCTGGTCCGCGGGAGCCGCGCAGCCAGGCAATGCAAGCAGAGGACCGAGCAAGACACCGAAAGCTCGAGGGGGGGAAAAAAAGGCGCAGCGATCCGGCTGGACTTCATGGCCTCGAACTCAAGGAAGTGTTGCGGCACCTTAAAAATCAAACACTTTTGAGCGGGCATCAGCTTTTCCGGCTTTAACGGCTGGATAGTTCTGTGGTTTCGGTCTCTGGCTATGGAGCCAGAGGTTAGGAGTTCCATTCCCCCTGTGCCCTCCTTGAGAGGGGCTGGATCGGGTCCCTTCCAGCTCTGCAGTTCCAAGGTTATTGTTGTTGTTGTTGTTGTTTAAAGAAACAGCTAACTAGCTTGCTTGCTTGCTTGGGTTATCGTTGGTGGCCCCAATTTAAGGTTTAATTTGATTCAATTTAATTTGCAACAAGCGTACAATAAGCGAAGCGCACTCATGGTAGGATTAAGGATCAAACAATATGGCAAAATGGAGACTGTAAATTAGAAGTGCTTTTTTCTTTTTCTTTCTTTTTTTGGAAGTGTTTGTGTCAGAGTTGAAGTCCTAAAGATGATATTCTTTAGGAGTCCTTTCCAGGCAATCAGTTGTTTATTATTAGTAGTATTAGTATTAGTATTGGTATTATTTGTTTGTTACCCTAGTTTATATACTGCCCCATTAGTGCCAAAGCACTATTCTAGGTGGTTTACAGACAGTTAAAACAAACTACACAGAAGTAAATATAAATAATAAAACCATATCAGTTTACATATGTGAATACCCCCTTATCCATGTTATATTTTTTTAAATCCTGCTATTTGATACAATGCTATACCAGATGGCAGGATTTTTTTTTTTTAAAAAAGCCTGCCACACCCTATGCCTAGCCATTTTGCCTGTCTGGCACAGCCGCAGGTAATCCCCACAGATGCCTCCTCTTTTTCTCTGCCGGTGCCAATGCCTCCATCCTTGTAGGAACCCCTAGACGTCCACCCCTGCTTACTGGGGCCCTGCCAAGCCCATCAGCTGGCCTGCCCACCTTGACATATTGCCTTCCTGCTTCCCCCAAAACGCCGCCAGTACAACAAAGCTGGCCAGGGGTTGTCAAGGAAGGAAGGGGAAAGAGTCCTATGTGTGCCCACCTTTCTCATCCCTCCACACCTAGCAAGAGTGCTGGCAGGATGCCGCTGCGGAGAAAATGAAATGGCTGCCACAAGGTGGCCGCTCCCTGCCCGCCGCCCCTGATAGCCAGATCTAGGGCAGAAGCAGCCGGTGGCATCCTGTACTGGTCCTCTCCACCTCCTCCAGGTTGCGAGGCCCTCCCGCTGCCAACGCAAACTCAGCTGCCTTTGCAACAGCCAGTTAAACTCTGAACTGACTCAGGCGGTCTTTTTCCACCCTCCCCTATCTGTCCTTGACTGGGTGGAGAAGTCATGGTTTGCTCCTGGGGGTGGGAGGGTGGGGAGTGAGTGGATTTTTATTCTCCTCCTCCCTCTCCTTTGGCTCTTGGTATGGGAAGAAAGGGGCCTGGGCATCCTTTCTTCTCCTTGTCCTTTTGGCTGCCTGAAAGGTCAGGAAGAAGGTCAGGAAGAAGGTCTGCGATGTTGCACCAGGATATCTCAAAACACTCCCTACTGGATCAAGTCAGGCAGAAACAGTGGAAGAAGAAACTTTTCCCTTCCCCGATGGTTACTGGCTCTGTCTGGGTCCCCTGCCCCGGATCCAGAGTCTGTGTAAAGAAGTGGATAACCACAGCCATGCCCCAAGGAGTCTTTTGATTAAGGCACCTGTGGCCATTAAGGCGTGGGGATGTGATGGTCATGTTGTCCCTCCTGCTGGAGGAGGACGTGTTGGTTTTGCCAGAAATAACAAGAGAAACAGCACTCAACAGCTTGCACCCTAAGCCCTGTCCTGCCCTAATTAAGTGGCAGAGCAACAACGATTTTTTTTTCCAGGTAAGCTGTGGGTGGATCGCTTTAAAAGCCCAGTCTGTCTATGTGGATATGGAGTTATGTTTGGGATTGGGATCCCTGGCAAAACGAGCCAGTGGCCATTAGCCCAGCAGGCACATCTTGGCACAGGCACTTTGACCGGCTAAGCCACACTGTTTGGACCTCAGGGCTGTTTTTATTCATAGGGATTTTTTTGAGGGGGTATTTTCTGGTTGTTGTTTGATTGTTTAAAGTATTTTATTTTCCTTTATCTGAAATCTCTAGATACTTAATCTGTCTTTTTCCCTTTTGAAATGCTTTCTGTCTCTTTAAAAATGCACAGGTATCTTTATTTGGATTTAGATTTTTTGGGGGGTGGTGGTTATTTTCTGGTTGTTGTTGTTGTTTGATTGTTTAAAGTACTTTATTTTCCTTTATCTGAAATCTCTAGATACTTAATCTGTCTTTTTCCCTTTTGAAATGCTTCCTGTCTCTTTAAAAATGCACAGGTATCTTTATTTGGATTTTGGGGAATTCTATGGAGGAGAGTCCTTTTTCATTGCTCTATTTTTATTTAATTTTTATTGATTTATTTTGTTTAATTTTTTTATTCAAAATCTATAGGGACTTGTTCTGATTTTTTCTCCCTCTGTGAGAAACCCTGTTTTATGGGTGGGAACAATCTTCTTCCAACCCTTAAAAAGGTTAGGTGCCTGCTTGGCCTAGTAATTAAAAGACGGAAAACTCTGAAAATTCTCGGGTGTCTTTTGAAGGTTAAAAAAAATTGTGTCTACATTTGTTTTACAGGTGGTAGCAATTCTCTCCTTCTACTTTTAGAAAAAGGATTTGGTGCCTGCTTGGTCTAGATCAGGCTTGTCCAACCCTCGGCCCGAGGGCCGCATAGAAAACTCTGAAAATTCTTGGGTGTCTTTTGAAAGTTAAAAAAAAATCTGTGGCTACATTTGTTTTACTGGTGGTAGCAATTCTCTCCTTCCACTTTTAGAAAAAGGGTTGGTGCCTGCTTGGTCTAGATGTATATTTTTAATTTTTAAAAAATGTTTGGGTGTCTTTTTAAGTTAACAAAAATTCTGTGGCTCCATTTGTCTTCTTAAAACCTTGTGTTAGCCAGGACTATGACTCTTACTCTCCATCCATCCATTAAAAATAAATACTGTACATAAATTAAAAACTGCATTTCAGGACCATTGCATTGACATTGATATTCTTCCCACATTCATGAAATCGGTGTTTCTCGCTCATCAGTGAAAAAAAATGTAATCAGTTGGACTTTTGGTGATACATTTTCCTCTTTATTTATTTCTAGATCTGCTTATGGCTTGCTGATTGTGTATTCTTATTCCCCTCCCTGCAAAAATTTTCATTTTCTAATGTGGCCCAGGGAAGGTGAAAGGTTGGACACCTCTGGTCTAGATGTATATTCTTAATTTTAAAAAATGTTTGGGTGTCTTTTTAAGTTAAAAAATTAATTTTATGGCTCCATTTGTCTTCTTAAAACCTTGTGTTAGCCAGGACTGTGACTCTTACTCTCCATCCATCAATTAAAAATAAATACATACATTAAAAACTGCATTTCAGGACCATTGCATTGATATTCTTCCAACATTTATGAAATGGGTGTTTCTCGCTCATCAGTGGAAAAAATGCAATCAGTTGGGCTTTTAGTGATACATTTTCCTCTTTATTTATTTTCTAGATCTGCTTATGGTTTGCTGAGTGTGTATTCTTATTCCCCTCCCTGCAAAAAAACCTTTTTATTCATTGGATTGGCACTGGTACCTTACAGGATGGTGGCTGGGAAACTCAAAATGAATTTTGGATGGTTGAAAAAAGATTGAAGTACAAATTTAGTAGTTGCAGCAAGACTAATTATGACAAAAATTTGGAACGCTAAACATAACTTCCAATTAAGTTAATGGTATAAAGAAGGATGAAATTTAGCCGTTACATCTGAAATTAAAATGAAAAAGGGATTATTAAAAATGAATGCATTTAGCAATATGTGAGTAGACTTTATAACATTTGTTCTAGTGAAAGGGAAAAGTCAAAGGCCAGCACAAGAAACATGACAATTTAGGAAGGGGCAAGAGAAAGAGGGGGGAAATGGACATTACTGCTGATAAAACAGGTATCTCTAAAAGGTCCTCATGATGGGCAGCACTAAATGTTAGTAATAGGGGAAAGACTCGAAGCCGGGCCTTCTCGGCGGTGGCTCCTCGCCTTTGGAACAACCTTCCTCCGGAGATTCGCGAGGCCCCTACGCTGGGTACTTTCAAATGCCAGCTGAAAACATGGATGTACATCCAGGCCTTCCCTCCTGTCAACTACTGATTTCTTTTGCTTTGCTATTTATTATTTATTCATTCCTGCACTATTTGTTATTGTCATATGCTAATGTTTTTATGTTTTTTAATTGTTTTGATTTTCTGTAAGCCTCCCAGAGTGGTAGAATATACCAGATGGGCGGGATATAAATTGAACAAATAAATAAATAAATAATAAGAATAGTTAGGCATAAAGAGGTATTACTCGG